GGTACATATGGCCCACCCGGCACACACGCAAGCACAAAGCCACGTACCAAACGTGAGCGTGCAGGCCAGGCGTGCGATGCGTGCGGGGAAAGTTAAAGTGCTGCTCCCAGCAACGCAAAGTCTCCAATACGGTGTAGGGGCCAGGAGCCACCAACCCGTACTGCTGCAGGACCGGAAGGGCAACCAGCAGCGTGCCGCCACTCACGAACCTACAACCGCAAGGATGTCGGGGTTCGTTCGCATCGCCTCGGTAATCAGGGCACCGATGGCCGTCGGTGGAGTAACAGCTGGCTGCGGAACACGTTCCAGCCGCACCCCATCAGCCGTGTCGTTGCGAATCCACAGTACCGCCAGCACCCCGGCTCTGTACACCTCGATTGGGGCAGCCGACAAGGGGTCATCCGCGTACAGCAGGTCCAGTCGCCATGCTGTCGGCTGCCGCGCCCACACACCCCTGCGGCACACGCGAGCAGAACACACACCAGCACGAGGGAAGAAAGCTTTACAGCTACATGTATCACATAAATCATAATGTTATATGGACATCTATCATCTTGCGGGTTTAGCTGCCTTTGTTTTCTGTATCGTTATCTTTTTTTGTTCGTTGTTGTTATTACTTTTTTTTGAAGCGTGACAAAACGTTTGTAAGTAAAGGTGCAAAGAGGATATATGTTGAAATGGATACAAGATGATGGGACAAATTGATATAAGGATTTGCAAATAAACATTAAAAAACATGGTAATTTTTGCTTTTGTTTTTTTGTTTTTTAAGGGTTGTGTTGTTGCTGCTGTTGCGGGGACGGGTCGAAGATGAGTGTATCGTCCATGCATCTATTGTTGTCTTAATCATAATGGTGTATCCTATGCTTTTGATAGCCGTGTGTCTGGTCGTGTAATCGCCGGGCCCAGTGCCGCATCGCACACATCGGGATGTAAACTGCTCCGTTCTGCTCCGCATTGGGTGATGCACGATGTTCGTTGGTGCCGGCGTCTCCAAATTGCTGGGGTGAAGCCCTGTGGTCACTCCTGTTGAACGGGGTGGAGTCTGCCAAGAGACACCACACGTCGCGTGCACTGCGGCTCCGTATTTCGTTGTTCCGTCTCATTTTGTTTGTTGTAGCCGTTCCTGTGATTTTGATATTCTTTTTTTTTGGCTGTTGTATTCATGGTGAAGGTCGTATTTATCTTTTTTTTTGTTTTCTTTGCTTCGTTTTGTTTTCGTCCTTGTTTTTGCTGTCGGTGCAAACACAGAGGGACGCCATGCGGCAGGTTTAGGGCGGGGGAGACGCTCGGAGTAGGAGCCTTCGGCAAAGCAGTAAGACAAGCAGAGCTAGGAGCAGCCGCCACGCTTGACGACGCCAGACGGCACCGGCCGCATAAAATGCAGCCAAAAGCGAAGTGGCCCATGCTGTAAACCCGTTCACTGCCAATGGGCCTTTGGAGACCTTCGCGTCGCCCCCCCTGGGCGGCTCCACTGGTGGAGCCGCCGGCGGTTTCGTCTCAGCCACGGGGATGTTGCCTACGGGAGCCATATCGGCTGCCCCTTCGCAGTGGTGGCTCCCACCAGATCTGGCACCCGGGTTTCCATTGCGGTGCAGCTGCTGCCCCCGCAGGGCGCGGTGCGCCTTGCAAATTTCATCCTGCTCCTGCAATTCCATCACCTCCAGTTGAAGCCTTTCGGTGTTCTCATCCGCAGACAATAGCAGGGCGTGGTCGTCCAGGCGCTGCTTGGCGTCCTCCTCCGTGTCCTCGTCAAAGACAAGCGCCTCCGCTATCACCGCCGCCACCTTTGCGGGGCCGCCACGCCTGCGCTGCCTTCGGTTGCTCCTTCCCCCAGGGCCCGTATGCTCGTTTGCACTGTGCCTCACATCCTCCTCCGCTAATGGGGGGCCGTCTGCTGCAGCCGCCGGATGTTGCTGCCTGCCACTGCCGTCCCCATCCTTGCTGGGGTGGTTATGATGGGAACGGCCCTGCACCCCCACCTCATCGGCGAACATCACACGGCGAGCGCGCTGCGTGTCCTCGCCGCTGTGCGACGTCTCCTGCTTTGTCACATCGCCGTCCATGCTGGATGCCACTCGTCCCCGCCCTCGCGCTCGCTATATATGTGAGTAGGTGTTATCCCACGCTACCCCGCGCTGTCTGCTGGACCCTCCAATATCCGCTAGCTTCCGCGTATATGAGCTTCTGTCAGCGCAAGCAGAACAGGCAGGAAGAAGAGGCAAAGCATCCGATAGACGCGCCACAGCACATATAAATGCATACCTCCCCCCACCCCAGATACACACACATACGCGCGTAGGCGTGAGTGTAAGACAACATCCGTGCGGCGCCTCTCCCTCATCCGCTCTTGCGCTGCGCAGTCAAACGCAACAAGCGGGTGAGAAGGGGACACAAAAAAAAAAAAGACATGTCCGTTGGAATCGTACGCACTCGCATGCGTGCACCAACACGGCAGCCGTCACACATTTACATACACAGACAGAGAGAAAGATATATACATAAAAAAAAAAGTAAAGAGGGCCTCGAATGGGTGGGGAAGGCATAAAAACAAAACAAAAACAAAAAAGAGGGCGCAGACGTTTTCCCACTTCTCAGTTTAAAACAGAAATAAATAAATAAAAACGCCGATGCATGTAACTCCGAAATAACTTCTTCGTAACCACACGTGTATTCCTGCAGCACACCATAAAAAAAAAAGAGTCCACTACGATTCCTCATGGTTGCCTATGAGCAGGCGTTTACAGACGCAAAGGCACGCAAAGCAAGCAAGGCGTAGCAACGAGAGGACAATTGAGCTATTGTTGCTCTTTTAGCGGACGCATTGAAGGGCCATGCCACTCCCTCTTCGCAGGGTTTCAAGGGCCAAAATAAAATTTTTAAAAAAGGATGTATCAGTCGATACACAAGTGTAGTGATACCAATAAATGGTCAACCATGTTCGTCCCACCAGCAAGCGCATATACGCATATACGTACGGACCTCCACAACCCCATGCGCAGAGGCATGTACATACAGAGAGAAAGAGAAAAAGCAAGGAATGGATGCTCCTTGTGTAAGTTGCGCGGGAGGATACGTCCGTGGACGCCCCCGGTGCTCATTCCTTCTAGCTGGTTGGGTCACTGCTGTGTCACTAACCACCGATGAGTTCCTTGCGAGGACCATGTTATCTCCCTCTCTCTCTCTTCACCACTCTCGCCTTCCCTTCAGTGTTATGGGGCTCACTAGTATGCAGTACCCGGATCAAATCGGCACACGGCACCACGTGTTTCACTGCACTCCTCCCAGCTATCGTCGTGTACAACCCTTAGCCATCGTCGTAGTCAAGTCACCCGTCACCCGCAACCGACGGTCGCGGCTGCTGCACGCATTCATCCCGCCGCGGCCCAATGTTGTTGGTCACCGGGCGGTGCATCTTCGTTGGTTCTAGCGCGTACGTGGTGGTGGCCCGGCGGTAAATGACTAGCAGCCAGGGTAAGCTGGAGACAATGGAGCGCCGATTTAACTCGGCCTCGTTATGCGGGGACCACGCGATCGGCGACACTACCCGCACAATGTGCGGCGTTGCTGCCAGAAAAACTGTCCTCCTTCTTCTGCATGAAGACGATGCTACTGGAGGCACGATGCCCTGTCTCAACTAGGTACGCCGTGGGGTAGAAGCCCTCGAGCAACTCCTCATCGTCGGCAGAGCTCTCCGTGACAGGCGCGTTGTTCCCGTGTTTATCCTTCTGCACAGGGGGAGTGGAGGCATGTCCGGCGGTGGCAGCCAACAATTGTGCCGGGCATTGGGCCGGGCGCAGCTCGATGAGTGTAGAAAAGAGATGGCTCACGTCATCGTCATAATCGCCAAACCACGCAGCGGCGCGGCGTACGGGGCGCTGCCGAAGCGACGGTGCCACGTGGCGAGTGCCGATGGTGCGTGAAAGCACGTTGCCCACGGCCGCGTTCTTCACTAGGCCCTGCAGTGCCCGACAGTTTTTGAGGTTCACTGCATTGGTGTTTGAGGCCGCCCCGTTGGGCATAATCGGTGAAACAGACAGTGGCTGTATACAAACAGGGTTGACGTCTGCCGCGTCTAGCAATGTGAGTCCACAAGGTTTGCTTCTCGCCAGCACGATGGGAGATAACACGACCTAACGCTGCAGCGGGTCTGGCGTCATTGAAGGTGCCCCCGCAGACAGCAGCGGGGACGCCGTGGCGCCGCCCTTCCACTCATCCAAAATGGGCTCAGGGGTGCAGGTAGCCGCCGGAGCCGGCACACCAGCAGTCTCTACGAATGTTGCGCGCTGCTTAAGAAAGTCAGACAACCACGCACTGACTCCCCTCGGCTCGGATGGCACTGTGTCACTGCCGAACTGTTTGTCATTTCACCGCTTGCCGTTGCGTGGACGCTGCGGGAGCCCAAGCTACAATCGTCATGGAATACTGTCGAGCGTCTGGCAAAAACACGCTTGCAATCCATGTGCTGCAGTTCTTTGCCCTTCTCCGTTAAGTCGCTCAGTCAGCGTTGGCTTTTAAAGACCTCAACCGGGTCCTGCAGCCCCCCAAGCGTCGGTTGCACATAGGCAGAAAAACGCATGGTATCCATGCTGCGCCGCATATCCGCCACGCGCAGCGGCACCGGCTCCGACGCCCGCTATTCCGTGTTCCGGGAATGCACATGTCGCTTTCTTGTCGCCCGTGCTCCGTGAGTCAGGCGATGCAACGAGAGTATCCCTGTACCGCTCCACTTCCTCACGCGACATCGCACACACCGCATCCTGCTACATGTACTCTTATTCCACGCTTGAGAAGGTGTTGCTGCACCTGGAATGTGGTGACGCGTCCAGAAATTTCATCGGCGCTTCTCGCTGCGAGGAAGCAAGGCGTGCGGAGGCGGGGGCTTGCACACCGAGCTAGAGTGCGCAACTCCCGCTATGTGCTTGCACTAATATCAGCCCAGAGCCTAAGCTTGGGGTGCGGCGAGCTCCCAAGGTTGGGGCACTGCAGTTGGTGCATTGCGCGCGGCTCCAGCGCTGACTCCCAGCAACGCGGGTGGTGGGAACAGTGTTAGCAAAAATCCCGCGTCATGCACGCCCAACGGCGGGCGGCGGGCGGATGTCCCCCCACTGACAATGCCGCCTCGCCCCTCTGCCTCTGTGTGCCCTTGCATCATGCTGTTTGATTGCTCCTTGCGTGGGTGAAGTAAAATCTCCCCGCTTCTCTGCCGTCGCCCCACAACCACGGCCCAACAGAGAGGCAAACGTGAAAGAACCGAACAGTCAGGGGTGTTGGGGTGCGCATGAAGCCGAAGCCAGCGCGCACGCTACACGTGCACGACATTCACGACGTACGCCGCGGTGGGAGGGGGAGATGTAACAGAGAGAAAGAGAGGAGGAGGAGGAGGAGCAGAAGGGCAACGCAGCAGAGGCGTCTCGCAATGCACGCTCAGTTCACCTGCTTCCTCGCCTCCCCGTGCCATACCCACAGACGCACAGACAAAGAAGAAAACGAATACAAACAAAACAAAAAATACACCAAACCAACGTGAGATTTCAACAGCAGCTCCCTACAAGATTGACATTTGCGTGTGTGTGTGTACAAGCAAACTCCCTCTTTTATTCTTGTCGTTGTTGGTCTGCTAACGCCGCTGCACATTGAGCTGCTCCATCTCCTTCCGCGCACGCGTGAGTGCCTCTGGAATGGCCCGCAGGTCACACTCCTGCCGCCGCAGCGACTCGGCAAACGTCTTCTCAAGCCGTGCCAACATCACGGCGCGTGCGGCACGAAGCTCCTTGCTCCGTTGCCGCTCCTCCGCTTGACGCTGCTTCAGCGTGTCCAACTCCACGCGCAGCCGCTCAACCATCTGCCGGCTCTCCAGCTCACGCTGACGAAGCTGCTTCAACTCGTGATGCAGCGATGCGGCACCAAGACGCGACCGCTGCGAGGCGGATCTATGCGCGGTGGCGTCACCCGCAGCTTCCACGTGGTCCTCGCGCTCCTCTAGTGCCACTTTCAGCTGGTACTCGGCGCTCTCGAGCCGTCTCCAAACACTTTTGAGTTCCTCCTGCAGCTGATGCATCCGCTGCCTCGTAGCGTGATGGAAGTGCATCTCCTGGTTGAGGCGCTCCTCTGCCACGGCGAGGGCGCCCTGTTGCATTTGCAGCTCCCGAAGCATGTCGTCCAGTCGTTTCTGCTGCTGTTGCGGTGCTGCGACAAAAACCCCAGCACCGCACACATCGCCTCCCGTGGGAAGCGTTGCGGGTGCGGAGGGAGGAGATGCTCCGACTGCCTGGGCCAAGCCGTCCCTCTGCTCTGGGGTAGCGGAGGCATCATTCAAGGTGCGGAGCGCACTCAGAGTGTCCTGCATCTCCAGCTGCCGAATCCGCGCGTGCGCCACATGCAACATCTCCTCTAGCGTGCTTATCGTCATGGCGGCCGCGTCACTATCGTCACATGCCTTACCCTCCGCTTTCCTTTCACGTGACACGTTGATTCGATGCAATGCATATCGTTTCGTCTGCCCCAGTAGCTGACTGTGTTCGGCCCGCAGCGCCAAAAGCTCCTGCTTGGCCGCCGTCATTTCATCCCGCATAAGCTGAAACTCCGCCATGGAGGGATTTCGATGGTACGCCTCCTTCAGCTTGTCCTCCAAGTCGTGCACGCGCTGCAGCAGATCGGCGCGCTCTTGCAGGAGAGCAGCACCGCCGCGTGGAGAAATGGCGCCTGGAGACACCCTTGCCATCCTGCCTCTAAGGCCCCCGACGGAGTGTGCTCTGTAGCCAGTGATGGGACGACCCAAACGTGGGCTTCGAATACGCGGCGTCGTGCGCAGCTCTTCAAACCTCGCCCGCAGCGATGGGCCGGCGTCGCTATCGGCAGCATTCGCCACCATGCCTGGACCGCCGTTGGCGCTCCCAGCACGGCAGGCCTCGAGTTGCAGTCTAGGCACAATGAAAGACACGGCGGCGGCGGTGGAGGAGGAGGAACACGGCGGAGGCGAGGTGTCGCACGCTTCAGCGTCCTGAGGCTCCTGCCTCTCCGATGGCTGGCGCGACGGCTCTGTTGAGGAGGCAGCCGTGTTGCTGCACGCCTTTGGCGACGAGCAGGGCGTCGCAGCACTCAAACTGAGCCGCTCCGCCTCGTATGCAACGTCCGTCAGCAGCGCGTCGATCGCCGCCAGCTCATCCCGCGCCATCCGCACGTACTCCGCGTGTTCCTCCATCTCCCGCATGAGTGCAGCCGTTTCGGCCGCCGCGGTGGCGCTCTTCATCCCGCACTCTTCACTCACTACGTCCTCCACGGCGCCCGCCGCGGCGGCCAGAGCGGCCTCGCTCGCCCGCAGCATGGCCGTAATCCACCGATGCAGTGGCCCCAGCGTCGGATGCACACGCACGACGCGGTCAAACGTCCACGTCGAGTCGAAATCCCTCCGCCGCACCGCGGCAATCAAAACAGCTGTAACGGCGGACGGATCGCGCTTCACTAACCGCCGCGGCAGGCCTCTGATGCTGCGGCAGTGGTCCCACGATATATACAGCTGCTCGCCCAACAAACAAACAGCAGCTTGAACAACCACGGCGACAGCAAGCGGCGGGCGACGCAAACCACGAAGATCATTCCAGAAACGCGTGGGCACCGCCCACAGCGCGGCACGCGCCGCTGTAAGAGCCTCCATTGCACCCTTCACTTGTTGTCGCTGCTGCGCATCCCTTGCGGTGGCCTCGGTGGTATCATCGCTCTTGCTTGCACCGTGAACCCACGCCTGTATCTCGGCAATGCGAGCAAGCGAAGTCTCCACGTCACTGCACAACTGCTCACGTCGCCGACTCAACTCCTCCACGTCGTCAAATGATAGAGAGGTCTCCCGCTGGCACTTGTCCTTGTTGTGTTTATCACTGTTTTTGGCATCGTGTGGATCTGCTGAGGCGGAAGCCCCTTTCGTAGGCCCGTCAGTGTGGGGCACGTGCATCACTGCACGATGCACACACACACACACGCTAATTCTCCTCTGCTAACAGGAGGCTTTGCTGCAGAAATTGTGTGGTGGTTGCGGTGGAAGCAGCAAAAAAAAAAAAGAGGCAACAGCAGCAGAAATAAAAGGGGTGGGTGTGCCACGCAAGCAACAGGGCAGTCCGTGACCAGCCACAGTGTACGGCCAGCATGCATGTGTGGGCTTAGGCTCATGCAGAGGGACGCGGTGCAGGAATGAGAAGTAACGAGGAAAAACATGCAAGAAGACGTGGGGGGTGAAACACAAAGAAGAGCAGCGGCACATCTATCACCAAAAAAAAAAACAATAAGAACCGCAGTTCCTCGGACGTCTCGCTGTGATGGATACTGGCACCCCAAAAGAGAGATAAATCTGCTTCATCCCTGAAAAATCCCCGCCGTGCCCGCAGCTACGCCGGGGTGTATGTGCACATCTCCATCTGTACATGCAGAAGCTTTTGTGCCTGCGTGCATAAACAGAAGGGAAGGGAATAACGTCTGCGGCCTCGATGCCACGTAGAGACAGAGAGAGAAAGAAAGCAAAAAATAAAACAATGAAACAATAACATATGAAGAAAAAAAAAATGACGCACGCTGCCGGGGAAGGAAACAAATAAAGACGTCCACAACAATGACGGTGACAATGACGACGATGGCAGCAGT